AGCTGAGCTCCAGCCATTCCTGGGCTAAGCCAAACTGCCCCCACTTCACTCCAAACCCTCCTGGATGGAGGATGCACTTAGGCACTGATCACAGGTTGTAGAGACAGAGGCACAGGTGCAGTTCTCTTCAGCATGTAGCTAAGGGATGGCACCTACAGCAAAGAGACAGGGCAGGAAATGGAGACAGTCACCTCTTCATCTGGCACAGCAGGATTTGCCAGAATTTGTGCAGCAGAGCCCACAGAATGAATTACAATTAGCTGCTAAGGCTGAAGCAGTGTAAAATGCCCACCAGGAGACATCCTAGCACACAAAACATGCACTAACAGGCACACTAGAGCCCCTTACTACAGATGCTGAGTCCTCTCCTCCCTCCTCCAGTGCAGACCAATCCATATTTTCTTAAATGCCCAACTTTGTTGGGGAATACCTGGAGGGAGCACAGGGTAAATCGTGCAGTTTTAGCTGCCTCTGGGAGGGTGACACAGATTGTATAACTAAGATGTGATTCCCCCATTTTAGAGAAGGAAAGATGAAGGATCATTTGGGAAATGCTGCCTATTCCTCAAATCCCACACTGGCCAGTTCAAGTAATTAAAAATATATTCCACTGACAGCAATGCAGTGACATTGAGTCTGTGACCTCTACACAACCGTAGGTCTGTGGACCACAATCATAACAACCCTAAAGAAAAGGCTTTGACAGCACTTTTACATTTCATATGGAGAGGGTCCAAAAAGCATTAAAGCCTGAAAACCTGCAGGCTGGTGAAGTAGTTATTTGTCAGCAAGGGAGGGGATAATCAGGGTTACAGTGAGGTATTGAAAAATATATTATACAACACCTTCATCATTCATAGCATCGCCTTTCAGCAATCTCCTGCCAGTATTTGCCCACACAGAACTGGGGAGAGAGCGCTCATGATCACACACTACTTTTGGCTGGTTTTGTAGATGTGTTACAAACACCACTGGACTTTAAGGAAGTGTTCACCAGCCTCTTTGACTGACACAAAGCTATCCTAAAAGCATTCCCTGCTCTCACTTCATATAGTCAGGCTTGTAGGCTTGAACTCTCACAGTCTCATCTGAATTTCTTGCACATCTCTACAGAATTGCTCCACCACCCTTTTCCTCCTGTTGCCAATAAGTGCAGAATGACCTTCAGTTTTTGCACTGTTGCCAAAAGCAGTTTATTTAGAAAGTTAGAAAACAAAAAGTGTTTAGAATAAACTTCTGTATCTTTTTCACTAACACTTTGATCAACTATGTAAGCTCAACGAAAATGACTCATCATCAATGGCTGGGCTGTACTAGGCTCAGGCCATGAAAGAGTTAATGAGCCTGTTTCAAAACACTTTAAAAAAAGGAATTTTTCTGCTTTCTGAAAGTGGCTTTGGAATAGACCCAGACTATTTAAGTCACAAAATACTGAGACACAGACTCAGTAGTAATTACTAATAGTAAACCCTTACTTGTCAGTAAATCACCATTAAGGAAAGGTTAAGATTCCCTCATTTAAAATGAGAAGCAAGGGTTCTTGTCATCCCCCTTTATCCTCTTTGACCATATATGAAAAATTATTAACACGTGCATGCTTTCCCATCAAAACCTCCAGTAACAACAGGCAATATGTGTAAAATACACCAGCAATAAAATGGAGCTTAGTGTATCTGAGGAACTCAGTGCAGGCTTTGTAAAATTAAATAGTTTGGTAGTCTGACCTCGATCCAACCAAAGAGAACCCATTTCCTTTCAAAGGGAGACACTTCTTTTAAGACAGAAAAGCTTAAAAGAATCAGCTTTAGTCCTTAGGAACAGACTCCTTATAAAAGTGCATCAAAAAAACCAAAATATCTTGCTCAATTACAAAAGCTTTTATTCTTGCAGATGCTTAAGATGATGATCTTCAGTGTTTCAGAGGGGAAAACAATTTCCCAAGGGTGTCTCTAAGCGAGACTGTGAGGTGATGTTTTCAGTGCCTGCACTGTTCAAGCTGGGGGAAGCCACCCAACAAAAAGAGCCCACACATGCACAAAGGAGATCAGAGATGCAGCCTCACTAGATGGCAACCCCTGGGCTGTTCAGGTGCCCTCACCACCTCCACAGTGTGGAGAAGGGCTCCAGTGTTCCTCAGGAGTTACACAGAAGTTTTTGTTTGGTCTGTGTTGGGAAAAGCTGTTGTTAGCTCCTTTCCAGGCTCATCAGACTTCCCATGCCAGGTACTCCTCAGATACAAATACATCCTCTGGCAGCAATGTAGCCATACTTAGAAAAACACTGATTTCTAGATTTCTTTTTTTTCTTTCAGTGCAAGCTATTATTTGAGCATCCCCCTTAAGGAACCATAGCAGGTTAGAGGCTAAGCTGAAGAGACTTGTGCAGCTGCTGCTCAGTCAGCCCACAGATTCCCAGAGCCTGACCCAAAGTTCTTGCAAGCCCACAAAGAACCCTTCCAAGCTGGCAGCACTGGGAATGAGCTGCCACCCCAGCCTTGGATCAGCCCAGCTCTGCTGGCACCCACACAGCTGATTCTCCCACTGGCTTTAGACAAGGTCTAACCCAAGAAGGCTGATTGATGCTCAGCTTCTGAGCACCACAGGTCACCACCTACAAGGCAGTGGTGACCTGAGCAAAAACCACCAGCTGCTCAGATTTGTGTCCCTTCAGGGCTACTTGGAATAAGAAGGTGAGGTCTGTGGGCAATCAGACTAGTCAGGTTTGCAATGTCTATCCCAGAACCAATGCCTGAAAACCTCTTTTTGACTTTTTCTGAGCAAAATCTCACTGACACCTGTGAGACAGCTGACAGGATAGGCAATCAAGTCTTCAGGATTAGATCCCCAGTTGATACACATTTTCCTACTGAGCTTATGAGATAATAAATACATCCTAAAACTGGTGGGTTTGTTCCTTACCTGGGACCACTGCATTATCAGTTCCCCCATCATTTGCCTGGCCTGCTGAAAGCACAAATCTTAGGTGCACAGCTCAGGGGAGAAAAATGGGCACTGAGATTATTAGCACAGCATCATCAAGCTGAAATAATTCTGAGCAGCTATCAAGACACACTGCAAACTCACAAGCTTGAAGTAGGAGCTAAACAAAAAAATAATCCAACACATCTCCACCTGAAAGAACCCCCAGGCTGGCCTTGCCCAGGTAGCCTCAGACGCAGTTGGATGCAAGCTCTGCTGGGAGCTGGCAGTGTGCAGCTCACTAATGCAAGCTGGGAGGTTTGCCAAAGTGAACAAGGCAGGACAGAGCTCATAGAGCAGAACGCTGTCCCATCATCAAAACCAGCAGCAGGGCAGGATTAACCTAATTTGTAGCTACCTTGGCTGGTCAGGCTGCCCATTGATCCTCATAGACACTCTCGAGAAGCTGAGTGAAATAAACTGCTGCAGAATTGTTCTTGAAAAGTGCATTTCCTCAACAGCACCCAGCAATCAAACGCTGGAGTGTTGTGGACATTCCTCCATGGTGGTTCCTTTCCATGCAGCTTGTGGACACTTGGGCAGCTTGTGGGGAGGAAAGAGGAGGCAGCAGTTACAGCTCTTGCTTATAAAATTAAAACATTTGCCAAAACAAATTATCTCAGTTTATCTCCAAAAGATTTTGCTTCACCTCTCCACACTTCCCAGCATGCTGACCCCAAATCTCTGAAAAGTTAAGTCTGGGTAGAAGAATGAAAAAAAATTGCTTTACTTTCCACACTATCTTTTAAAATACAGAAGGCACAAGGATTTGTCACCACCACCGAGAGTAAAACCCCAGACTGAGGGTAAAACCCCAGGCTGATCCCTATGTGGATCCCGTTTAAAAAACAAACAATCCACTTGGGGCTGGCAGGGAGCCAACGGCGGGATTGCCTTTGAAAACTTGCATCTCAATATCAAAGGAAACCTCATCAAATCAAAGGAAACCTCCGAGTATTTTGATCTGTTTTCATAACTGTAACAATTTTCATCCCTTGACTTTGTAGCGTATTATCGCTCCTTTCTTTCTACTAAGTTACAGAAACAGACGGTACAAATGAAGGCTAAACAAGCACGGGTCGCTGTGGATAAAATACACCATTTCAAAAGATCTAGAAAAGACAAAACCCGCTGCCTGTCTTAACTCCTGCCAAGAAACCATTACAGAGGATGGAGGCACGGTGAAAGCCCCCTGAACGCAGCGTCTCAACAGCAGTAACAACCACACATCTCGGATCTATTGTGTAGCTTTATTTTTATAGGACCTATCATAGACTCTTTTACATAACTTAAATGATTATCAAATAATCTCCTGTACACAATGAGACGGAGCCGCATCGCTTTCTGAGCTTTGACACATTCCTGGAAGAAATCCAACAGTCTGTAGGAATCACATGGCCGCAGTGGCTACAGTACATTTTTGTCCCGAACTTACACCATCAATTAACTTACGAATCGCTGTAAATTGCCGTTTTGCAAGATCCTGCAAGACGCTGTTAAAATTTGAGGACACTGAGTTTTGGTAGCAGCATTTTTAATTTTGCTTCACTTTCTTGCCTTTGTGTCCTCAGCTGAACATCTGCCAGCACTTGTGACAAACGTGAGCCTGGCAAAAATGTTAAATGCACCGCAAGTGTTGACATGAGCTTTAGATCTAGACTGAAATCACTGACGAGTGGTCCCCACGTCGCCTACAGGTACAGCAACGCGTCTGCCTACAGCCAGCCAAGCCCCGGCCCCTAAGGAAGGAGGATGAAAGGGGGGCACCGGCCGCTACAAAAAGACCTGAAGAAACCCAAAGTTTCACATTTTATTTGCAGCGTCGCCCAAACCGCAGGAGGAGGAGACTGGCAGTGCACAAGGGTGAATCCTGCGGGGGCCGTGGCCGCGGTTTCGGCCGCGGGGCTCTCGCATGCAGGGAGTGTGCGGAGCCCCGTGCGGCCCCAGCGTCCGCCCGCCCCCGCGGGGCTCCGGGCTCCGCTCCCGCCTCGCCGTCCCGGCGGCGCCCGAGCCCCGGCGGCCCTAGAGCCCGGGGTAGCCCCCGCGGTGGTACCCGCCGCCGTAGTCGTAGGGCGGCTGCGGCGGGGGCAGCGGGCACTCGGGGAAGAAGGGGGCGAACCCCGCGGGCAGGTGCCCCCCGGGCTCCTCGCTGCTGCCGCCGCTGCCGGGCACGGGCTCGGCGCCGCCGCCGCCGCCGGGGTAGATGGGACGCAGCGGCTCGGGCGGCGCCTTCCTGGGCGGGCTGCAGGGCGCGGCCGGGCTCCAGGGCGGCTCGGGGTAGAGCAGCCCGCCCAGCAGCGGGTGCGGCCCGGCGGGCAGCGGCAGCTCGTACAGCCCGTGCTCCAGCCCCAGCTCGGCGGGCAGGCGGCCGCCGAAGGCGTCGCTCGGGGCGGCGTGCTCGGGCAGCAGCGCGCCGTACTCGGGGCACAGCAGCTCCAAGAACTCGGTGGCCTCGGCGCCGCCGCCCCCGCCGCCCTTCTCCGGCTCCTTGGCGGGCGGCCCGCGGGCGGCGGGCCCGGGCAGCGCGGGCTCCGTGAAGAAGGAGGGCGGCAGGTTGCGGTCCCGCAGCGGCACCTTCCGCGGGCCGCCCGCCGCCCGCTCCGCGCCGCCGCCGCCCGCCCGTGCCTCGGCGCCGCCCGCCGCGCCCCGGCCCCGCTGCAGGGAGCCGAAGAGGGCGGCCAGGCTCTTGCTCTGGAGGCTGCTGCCCGCCGCCTGCGCGGGCTCCCGGCGCGGCGGGGGCCGGGCGGGGCAGGCGGCGGGCGGGCAGGCGGCGGGCGGCGGCGCGGGCGGCGGGGCGGCGGCGGCGGCGGCGATGATGCCGGTGCAGCGCTTGATCTGCTTCTGCAGGTACTTCCTATGGTTCACCTTCCGCCGGGACTTCACCGGCCGGTCCAGCGCCAGCTTGATGTTGCTGGAAGCCGAGTCGATGAAGCTCAGCAGGTCCCGGGTGGCTTCTCTAAAGTCCCCCGCGTCGCCGCCGCTGCCCTCGTAGCCCTTCTCCAGGTCGGCATAGCCCAGGAGCCCGCCGGCGGCGGGGAAGCAGAAGGAGAGGAGGTGGTGGGGGCTGAGCAGCGCGGCGGGCACGGCCATGGCCGGCGGCGAACGCCGCCGCCCCGAGTCCCGGCAGAGTCCGCTGGGATGCGCCCGGCGGGCGGCGGCGGCGGCAGCGGGGAAAAGGCGGCGGGCGGGGAAGGAGGAGGAGGAGGAGGGATCAGAGCGGGGCTGGCCCCGGCCCTCCCCGCCTCCCTGCCGGGAGCCCGGGGGCCCGGGGGCCGGGCCGGCTGCACCCACCAACCCACCGAGCCGGGCGGGAACACCGGCAGCGGCGGGGCGGGACGAGCATCACCCCGGGACTGGGACACACCCGCCCTGGGACAGATACACAGCCCCGCGGGACACGTGTACACACCCACACCCCGGCACAGGTGCACAGGCTTCACCTGGCCAGACACTCGCAGGCACCCCAGAGCAGGTGCGCAGCATCCTTCAGACCCCATAAGCCCTTCAGTCCCCGCTCCTGCAGCTGCTCAGCTGGCACAAAACGTGTTCCTTCCTCCCTCTGGGGTCCCGCCCGGCGCTCGCAAGGCTCTGGGTGCGAGGGCTCGGGGAAATGCTCTCGCTCTGACAGCCGCCAGGATACACACACTTAAATTGATTTGTAAAGGATGCTTCTTTCCAAGCTCATTGATATGCACATTGCATAGCGTATTCTCTGTCTAGTCAAGTCCTAAGAAAATTCAGAGCTGTGATCCAGTAGAGATTTCAAATGGCTGGGGTGCAGGGAGTTAAAGTCACAAAATTATGTAATGGTTTGGATTGGTAGGGACTTTAAAGATCATCTAGTTCCCTACAGTAAGCACGGATACCTTCCACTAGATCACCTTGCCTGTGGTGTTGCATGGACTTAGTGAAGCAGCAGTATAAATCTTTCACACAGAAGGTATAAAAGTTAGTGAAGTGGCTACTGAAAGTACTGTTAACAACTCCTGAAGGAACTATCTTGTCTTTTTTTATGGTGAAAAGGTATTTCAATTTGCCTTGAGAAAACTCTTACATTGATGCAGAACAACCCTCAACCCAGCTCCAGATTTATGTTCAATGCTTTTATATGTCCAAATTTGAATGAAGATCCATATCCAATTTGGAATTAAATAAAGTGAGTTTTCATGCTTTGCATCACTTCATTGGAAATGCAGCAGATTTGTATTGGAAAGAAAAAACAGAAAGCAAAACTGCAGAAGGAAAGTGAGACAGGCTCCTTGGACTGTAATTAGTGGTAAAATGGAAAAACCAGCCAAATTCACCTCACTGTGGTTTGAAACACTTGTTGAATGTAAAGCAAGTATTGCAAAGAGAGAAGAGGAGAAAGCATGTATTTCATGGGAGGAAAAGAAGGCTCAATAACCTCTCCAAAACAAGATTGCTGATTTTCTTGATCTCTCACCAGCAGGTCTCAGCAGGGTCCCAGCAGCAGGCAGAACCTCACAGTCCCAGGCACAGCCTGGGTTCTGGTGCCGGCCCATCCGGACTGGGTCTCCTTTGCCAAACTTGCTCAGCTGGAGGCTCCCAGAGTCTCTCTTATTTCGGGACTTGCTCTGAGTGTAACTGTGTGATTGAAGCAAAAGAACCCTGGTAGGCAGAGGGCTATGGGAAGTTTCTGTATCTCTCCATGTCAGAATGAGTATGTCTACATAGAAGGTGGATTTAAAGGACTTAGCTGGAATACAACTGACAGGGATTAACGATCCGAGCTGTTACCCTCAGGCCCTGTCAAGCCCTGTCAAGCTTTGCAGCCTGCTCCAAGCTCCCTTATTGATGGGAAAATGTAAAGAACAACATATACATCCCCCGTGTGCTCCACTAGATAGTTTTGCATCCCCTGTGAGGCCACTTTGAGCTGCACATGGGTCTAGAAAACGGGGGTCACTATCCTTCATGGGATGTGCAGACAGTCTGGGACTGTTTCTTATGTGAGCAACGTGAAATTATTCAAACAGAACGGCAATGAAGTTGTCCTCAAATTAGCATCCGCCTCAGCATCACAGCAGCAATATTCCCTGGCTTGTCTAAAGGGTTTGTTAATGAGTCTGGGTGGCATTATATGCAGAGTGGATAAATATCCGGTGGCTCAGATAAAAAAGAGCTGAAAGCCCCAGCTTCTCTTCTGTAAGGCTGAATTCATTCAATTAAACAGCTTTGAGAGCTCAGCTACGGTTTAGCGGGAGACTTTATTACCTCCTAGAACTTGGAGAGTATTAAAACAATTGTCAGGCATGCAAAGGAAAGTTTGCATTCAGTTGTGCTAAGCAGCTGAATTTACATATTCTCAACCAGATCTGGAGATTTAGAAAGCCTTCATAATTGCATTAAACATGCTTATTCTCCGTGTTCTCTCAGGCAGAGCTGATTACCCCGAGTTGGGCAATGCCTGGAGGGAAATTTGCTAAGCCACATGATGTCAACAACTTGTAAAGAAAACTTGATTTTTTTTCAAGAAAATAGCAGTTTGGTTATTTCTGAAAAACATCTATTTTCTAGCAGCTGTATGAGACTGCTTGTCTTCTGCCTGTGCCCTTTCAGGATGCTGATGCTGAGTGCACTCGTGGTGACTCTCAGGCCCAGCTATCTACATCAGCTCACTAGCAGGGTCTAATGTCCAGGAAATGCTGGGTTTAGACCCACAAAATAGACCCAGTCCCAGGCAAAATTTTGGACCAGATGTCCTCTTCCCTGCACTTAACCCCTAACAGACTGGGGTGAGTGAAGTGGCTGCAGAATTGCTTCCACCATCCCAAACCTCCATCCCACAGGAAAGCACTCAGTGCTTACTAATGGGCTCCAGGGGCTATACTGCTATTTTTTTGCCCACTTTTGCATAGGAAATTTATCTGGTTTTGTTCATTTTCTTGCTTGTTTTAGGGAGCAGCATCTCAACCACCTCTGGGAGTTGACCAAGGCTTCTGAGAGTAACGCCCTTGGCATCCAGCTTGGCTTTTTTAGAAAGCCAGGGCAGAATCACTCTGAGAATCAAAGGGAGTAGGAGCATGCCCTGATCACTAATACTTTGCTCTGGCCATAGATTGAGCTCATGGCCACATGATTGAGCCCCTCACCACAAGAACAATTTGTTATCCTTGCAGACCAGGCTGGACAGAAAGGAGAGCAGTTTCCACAAGCGAGGAAGCCTTGCATAGTCGAGGGCCGTGTTACAGCGCCAGCGCTTCTGGGGAGCAGCTCCTCTCTGGAGCCAGTTGCAGAAGCTCTGTCTGCCCTCCTAAAGCTCATGGGGCCGCCCACCTCAGTGTCCAAGTGTCCCAGGGTAAATCCTCTACCATGCCAGAGAAGGATCTCACTGGGATTCAGCCTGAAGGAAACATCTCACACTGTGCCTCATCACTAAAAGGAAATAGATTCAGGTTGATATAAGGAAGAAATGTCTTATGGTGAGAGTTGTGAAATGCTGGTGCAAGTTGCCCAGAGAGGTGGTTGATTCCCCATCCCTGGCAGTGTTCAAGGCCAGGCTGGATGAGGCTTTGAGCAAGCTGATCTTGTTGAAGATGTCCCCACTCACTGCAGGGAGGTTGGAACCAGGTGATCTTTGCAGTCCCTTCCAACCCAAACTGTTCCATGATTTTATGATCACTAGCAAAACCTTCTCCTAGGGAAGGCAAACCAAATCCAGTGCTGAGCCCAGCTCTCACAATTCACAGCACCCATTTTCCTTTCATCGTGGCATCAGGGAGGCAGTGTGAAAGTAAGAAAACCTCTGCAACAGGGGAGGGAGGGCTCTTTTTTTCTTTTTTCCCCCCTTCCTGGTTGTATGGCCCATATGGTTATCGAGTTCTGGGAAAATCTGGCTGCCCAAACAGGTGTCACCGCTCCCAACCTACAGACTCATTTCCTGATCGCGTCTTAATCGGCGAGTTGGTTGTGAAAGTTGATTTCTTGCACATTCTTATATCAGTGGGAATTTCTGCCCTTCCCTGACAAGTATTATAGGCAGCCTTTGACATACAGCCCTACAGGACCTAAATAGGCTGCTATTCTTTCCCTACACTGAAAGGGAGCTTTGTGCCAGGGATTCATTAAACTGCACTGCACAGCCCTTCATAAATGGGCTCAATAATGAACAGTCGATTTAACTGGAAAAGCTGCTGGAGCTGTTAAATTAAAGGGAAATAAAGTGCACTTCAGGCTCAGTCTGCCAGAAGAAAATGTTGACCTAAAAAAAAAAATCTTTATTTTACTCAATCTCTTGCAAACAGGCTAAAATCTTCAGGAAGTTTATACTCACAACAGTGGGAACAATTTTAAAACACACTGATTTGCTTTCCCACTAATAAAGAAAGAATCGCAATAAAATACTCAATAAAATTAGGAGAGATGAAAGGCATTTTCCACTTAAGCCAAATTTAGTCCCCTTAACGTGAATTTAATATTTGTATGTAGATCCCTCATCCCATCAACTTTATGTAGGCAAAGCTTCCACTGGAGTTGAGTTTATAAAGTCATGAGTGAGATACTTTATTTCCAGTTTTCCAGTATTTTCTGAAATTCTGCAGTGCTGCACAGTCCAGTCCTTCAGTGCCCAGGTCTGTCATCATGTGCAGTGGTTGTTTTGCCCATGTGAGGTGTGCAGGACTCAGCTGAAAAACAGGCACACATGGGAGTCTCCATTTAATCTTCTGAATGAATGCAAAAGTCCATCATTCAGCTGAGCCTGATCCAACTCTTGGTTTTGGAGGGGTGAAATTCCTTATTTCAGTGAGGTTACTCCAGTGGAAACCTGGGGCAGTGAATCAGCTCTTCCATCACAGCCATCTCACTGTCCTTCATCTGGACAGTTTTAAATCCTGTTCCTCACCTGTGTTCTGTAGTTTATATATGAAATGTTGTGAAGAGAATCTATCTGTGTGAAGGTAGACTGGAAGCTTAAGAACAAGTAGATCAGAAGAAACGTGCAATGGGGAAGGGACCATGTCCAAATCTAATTCCCGGGGCAGCTCATCTGAAAAGAAACCTCAGCACCAGCTTAAAAAACTTAGTGTTGCTTTTACATTTCACATTGCAGCTATTTTTTCCTTATGTAAACTTCCTGATTGAAGAAACCCTCATCTTCTTCCTACTGTTGTGATTTTTGTTCAAATCTTGTATATCATATATAAGGTGATGGCAGCAGGCTTTGAGCTCTTCACTGAAGCTACCTTCAGTGGCCTAATATTTTTCATACTCTGAAAACATGGAGCACTCAGGAAGAATGCTGAAATTAGCTGAAATATGTCAGTCTTCCACCTAAATTGTCTATAATTATTTTAAGTTTGATTATAAATTACCTGGAGTAGATAAAAATAAAGTTTGATTATAAATTACCTGGAGTAGATAAAAATCCCACAAGAATTTCAAAATCATGAACTTGTCTGTCAAAAAAATAGTGCATTTAATAAGTTGGTAAGCCACCTCTTGTGGTTTATCAACTGTTGACTCACCACTGCAAGAG